CCTATGGGCTTTCGTCTTGCGATGCAAGCCCATAGGGAAATTCGTCTTGCGAAGCGCCTCCAAAACAGAAAACCCTTTCGTCTTGCGGGTTTTCCGTCTTGCGAGGCGTTCGTCTTGCGGGGTACCACTGTATTATACTGGGGATATTTGTGCCATAAAATTTCAGTATTTCCCATTGCTGCTGATTTCTGAAGCAAAGCAGAAACACGTTAGAGTGCTTGGATTTTCAACCATCTTTTTTTCCCCTTTGTACCCACAATTTCATGGACAGGCTCTTCCTGATATAAGACACCAGTAAAACCAATTGCCTTTTTTATGACCCAGCTTCCGCACTGACCCACATACAGCTACTTGCCTTAAGAGGACATATGACGCTCATGTAGGTTTTCAGCCTGCTGAAACCGTTAGACATACATTATACACACACACACACACACACACACACACACACACAAACCACTTACAAAAACACAACGGCTAAGCCAAAGGCGTTTCCTTTACTTCCCACGCTGCTCTCCTTCAGGAAGATATCACAAAGTAAAGCAAAACTTTGCTTCTTAAAGCTGCAGTGCTCCATGCAGGGCAAAAGGAAAATCCTCTTTAACATGAAGCAAAAGCAATTCACTGCATTAATTATAAATGAATATTTTTAGATGGGAAAACTACATTTTGGAAACTTTCCTCAGCCATGCTGTGGTATGTGTGTGCTTGAATGTGGTGGAGGGGGGGGAGTCAGCTGTAGAAGCCCCTGCTGTGTCTGCTGAAGGTGTGAGCTGTTCTGGAGCTATCGCTGGTGGTATTCCTGTCGGCAGCAGAGAGCACATGCCCCTCAAATGTGGTGCTTCAGGTGCAGGGCAGAGCATGCCTGGCCAAGGGTCAATGGAGTCTAGGCTGGCCCATCTGCCTTGACTGACAGGGATCAGCAGGGCTTCAGATATGGCAGTACCTCTGTCTCTCCCCCAGGACAGAATTAAAATTGTTCTGCAGATCACTGTAGCATTCTAGTGTGGTGGTGCTGTGGTCTAAACCACTGAGTCTCTGGGGCTTGCTGATCAGAAGGTTGGTCGTTTGAATCCCTGTGATGGGATGAGCTCCTGTTGGTCTGTCCCAGCTCCTGCCAACCTAGCAGTTTGAAAGCACACCAGCACAAGTAGATAAATAGGTACTGCTGTGGCGGGAAGGTAAATGGCATTTCTGTGTGCTCTGGTTTCTGTCACAGTGTTGCGTTGCGCCAGGATCGGTTTAGTCATGCTGGCCACATGACCCGGAAAGCTATCTGTGGACAAACACTGGCTCCCTTGGCCTGAAAGCGAGATGATCACTGCAACCTCTAGTCGCCTTTGACTGGACTTAACCGTCCAGGGGTCCTTTTACCTTCTAGTTATTAACGCTGTTTTACAGCTGATCTGTAAGACAGGCTGGTATGTAAGGCACATTTTCTGAGTTTGCTTGATTGGGTCAACAATTCCTTTTGTTCTGGTCACATTTCTTCATTGTGGTGTCCTAGTCAAACTATCACATAAGACAATGCAACTTCTGAAAAGACCGAGACTGATATAACATAGCAAAGCACATTGTCAGCTCTCCTGCATCTGATGGCAGTGACAGCTTTGCAAAACCTAGGCTGCTTGGTTAGAGCAGAATACAATAAAAAAAAGGTTTTTATTCATGTTAAGTAGAATAAGGCCTGTTTTGCAAGAATCTAAACAAAAGGGGAAAAAATATCTATATTGGTTCCCATGTTACTGTCCCAGTGCTGATTCTAACCAGTGTGGTGATCTAATAACAAAGAGTAACTTATACCCTTCGGCTGTCAAAAGTACATGTAGTTCCAACCAAGGCCCCACTTGGTTTTTTTTAAAAAATGTAACTCATGCGATCTCAAGCTATTCAAGGATTTGGGGCTTTGTACCTTTGAGCTGGGAAAGGTCAGCCCTGTGATTTCCAGGTCAGAACTATCTGACAAGGATTTGGTGGTGTGGTAACCTGAGAAATGTTAACAAGGGAATGCTGTTAAGAATAAAGAGGGCAAGAAGGACAAACACTGAAAAGAAACTATTATATAATGATGTATTATAGTGGGCCTTGACAAATCTCTCCACCAACAGCTATTCTTTATGACAAGGCATATTACTGAGGTAGTCTCCATAGTGCTGAAATACTGTTCTTTTGAACAGCGATCTATATGTACAGGTCTTGCTACAAAGTTTCTGTGGGGTCGGTCATGATAGTAAATGTCATATTTGCTACAAAGTGTTTGGCCTCTTGAAGCCTCCTAATCTCTCAATAAAAGGATCTTTGTTATGGCCACGGCATGTAACTGAGGGAGCCTCCTTAGTGTTGTTCTGAACAGAAATCTATATAATCATGCATGGGTCTTGCCAAAGAATTTCTGTTAAGGTTAGAATCTATCAGTTCTGAGTTCAGACCCAGCTACGACCTCCTCCCCTTCTGCAGCAGCATTTTTAATGGTAATTTACATTGGGTTTTAATTGCTGGGAACCACTCTGGCAAGCTAAAAATCAAGCAATCAGGCTTAATCCTTTGTCTTTTCTTTGTTAAAAAAAAAAAGGTGTTTAAACATGCGACAATAACAAGGATGTAGGGGCTTGGATTCACTCAAGCATTCCAAGTGTGCTCCTATCTTTCTGTTTATTGCAATATTTTGAAGGGAGCTTCCAAGCACATTTAGCTGGAGACTGGGAAGTGTAGGGGGTGGAGGCACACACCTGCCTCCCACAGTTTGCTCTTGTGTGTCTAAAGAAGTCTATGGTTTGCTGTTACAGCCCAGTTGGGTGTACTATAGTTTGTACTGCAAACCAGGGCTTGCAGGGAAAGCATAAACTACAGCTTGGCAGTTCAGATATAGACGGCAGGAACCAGGAAGGTAGGGAAGTGATCACAGCATGGGAGGATAGGAGGGAGTGGGAGTCAGGAGCATGAAGCTTAAGCCTCAACCCACACTCATTCGCATGACTCCAATATATGGACAATCCAAAATGAATACAGGGGAAATGCTGAATCCTTTCTTGTTGCACTAGAGATTCCAGAATAATAGAGAAGGCCAAGTGTAATGTTCCCAACTGCCTGTCCTATGATCACAGCCCAGGTCCATCAGGACTACTCAGAGTCTGTACACTGGACCTTGGTTTCTTTGCTGCAATCATGTGGAGCTATTTGTTCTGCTTGCACCTTTCGACAAGCTCCCTGCTTGTAGCCCAGTGTGGTCTGTGATGGGATAGTGGCATAGTAGCCTTAGGCTGCAATCCAATGCACACTTTGCCTGAGATTAAGCCCTTATGGCCTTACTGAACTCAACCGGAGGACTTACTTATGAGTAGACACGCATACGCACAGCTTCACTGTCAACAGGCCAAGGTACCCTTTTCCTTTTTTTAAGTGACTTGAGGTTGGGACTGCTAATTCAGAATGCCAGTCATGAACCATACATTAATTTGTTAGGAGGCAAATGTAAGGGACTTTGAAGAAGTGCAAAGAGTTGGGGTTAGAGTTCTTTCTAGTTGGTCCTTTCTAAAAGTAAAATAGAATTGAAACACTGATTATCTTAGCCAAGACATTGTCACATTTATGTTTCACAGGCCACAATACTGTATACTTTGTATACGGTTTGGTTGATAGAGGCCACAATACTGCATACTTTGTATACGGTTTGGTTGATAGAGCTCATGACACTTAATATCAGGGTTGCCCCACGTTGGGCAAAAAGATTCCTGCATTGGAGGTGGTTGAACTAGATTATCCTTGCGGTCCTTTGCAATTCTATGATTCTGTGAATAAAAATAAGGTCATTATCTTTCCCAGACAGAATTCTTTTCTACATAGGTGATAGAGTCCCATTATTTGCATAGCCTCTGAAGCTGCAGAGCTCCAACAAGCACAGCAAACACACACATACACAACCACGAATAGGACTCCTTGTTTACTCCTGTGAAACTTGTCCACTTTGGTACCTCATTTGACCAGATTAGCAGGGATGATGGGCTGGTTCCCTTTTCACTTGTCACATCCACTTCTGTAAAGAGGCAGTTCTATCTTGGCTTCTTCCTTTGGGGCTGCAGAGAGCCAGTCTGGGTGGAATAATGAAATTGGCAGTCAGCTGAGACTATGTGCCCGTCTGTTGGGTCACCAGGGCAGGGGGGGGACATGGGTTAGGCTGGGCAGAAGGTGGGAAGGCATTTTCCTTCCCAAGACTGTGGTAAGAGTTAACTCTTCCTAACCTTTTCTGCCCTTCTCTTGGGCGTGGGAGGAAATTACAGGCCTTGGAGACTAAGTGACAGTTGGCTTGGGATAATGACAGGCAGGCTTGCCGTGAGAATCCAAGCGATAAAGATAAAAGGAAGGGGAAAGGGCTCGGCTTTTTCTCCTGTTTGCAGAGAAGTGGCAGCTGCTGCCCTGGGCAGGAGCTGCAGGACAGAGCAGCGCCCCCTCAGCCTTCCTTGGTGCCGTCGAAGCGGCTGCTGCCTCTGGTGGTGCGCTAACCATTCCCTCCTCGCCCTGCTTGCAGCGCGCCAGGAAAGTGCCGCACGTGTGTTGTTGTCTTCTTCCCTTCCGGGCATCTGCCGAGACGGCGGCAGAAGAAAGAAAGAAAGAAAGAAAAAGTTTCAGGAAGATCCAGCCTTTTCCTGTCCCTATAAAGTTGTCTCATCACCCGCCCAATAAAGACCTAAGTGCCATAACAGGATCAGGGGCCAACCTGGCAGGACACCGGGGGAAGAAAGCGAAAGGTTGTAGCAAGTAAACAGGGCTGGTGAAGAAATCTCGACCTTTTACCAGGGGACGCTGTGGCTTTAAAGGATTCCGAGAGGCGATCGGGTGGGTTTCCTCCCCCGCCCCGCTTGAACAAACGTCCCCTCCCTGCTCCGTTGCCTCGCTCGCTTTCTCACCTCCGCGAGCCTCCCCCGCCCCGTCCTTCTTTCTTCCTCCCCCCTCCCCTTTTCAGCGGTCCTCTCCCCCTCTCCGCCCCCCCCCCCGCGCGCTCCGGTGTCTGATTAAACGAGAAGGAAGTGTGGGAGTGGAGGCTGCGAAGCTCTCCCTTTAAGAGGCAGCCTGCAATGACGAATTGTTGAAATTGCCATTGCAGGATGGCATTCCACTATAAATTCATTGTTCCACCTCCTCTCATCTTCACAGCTCTCGCTCTTCTCCTCTTGTTCACATCGGCGGACTGGGGATAACGCCGCCGCCGCCACCAAACACCCATTAAACTCGGAGAGGGAGGAGGGGGAACCTTGAGAATCTGGGACCTTTCTCCCACCCCCTGGCCGGCAAGGGAGGGCTTGTTTTCTCCTACCTCTCTCTCTCACACACACATTCACTCACTCACTCACTCTTTCTGCCATCCGCCTCTCCAAACCAACTCATCAACCCCAAAAACAAGGGGACGGAGGAAGCCGGCGAGACCCTCGGAGCTGTGCCAGAGCCGACCTCGCTCCCGTCGGATGACTCGGTGGCCGAGAGAGCGAGCGAGAGAGAGCGAGGCGCCAAGTCCCAACTTCGCCGATGCCTCCTGGCTGCTGCGAGAGCCGCGTCTCCCTCCCACCGCTGCGCTCTTGACTCGTCCGGCGAAGACTTCTCCAGCCTTTTGTTTTCCACCAGCCTGTCCCGTTCGCGCCCCGATCTGCCCGATCTCCCGCCCGGATCGCCGACCCGGCAATCGATTATCCGTCTGCTGCTGCTGCTGCGGAGCCCACCATGCTGCTGAAGTTGCCTTGCCCTCCGCTGCCGGCGCTGCTGCTGCTTGCAAGCTTGCAAGCGGCTGCCTCGGCCGCCGGAGTTTCCCCGGCAACTTCAGCACCTGCCTATGATAAAGCTGTGCAGCTCTCCAAAGCAGCAGCAGCAGCGCCACCGGGCGCTGCGCCCCCCTTCTTCGTCCCGGAGCAGCAGCAGCAGCAGCCACGCGGGTCCAGCGGCCTCGTGGAGCGCGTGGACCAGACGTACTCGGGGGGCGGCAAGGTGGGCTACGTCCTGTACGCCGGCGGGCAGCGCTTCCTGTTGGACCTGGAGAAGGACGCGCTGCTGGGCTCCGCGGAGCAGCTGCTCCAGGGCAAGGGGCGCTGCTACTACCGCGGAACCGTGGATGGCAGCGCGCAGTCCTTGGCCGTCTTCGACCTTTGCGGCGGCTTGGACGGCTACTTCGCGGTCAAGCACGCCCGCTACACCGTGAAGCCGCTGCGTCTGGCAGACGACGGCGGGGAAGGGGCCGAGGAGGAGGAGGAGCCCGCCCGGGAGCGCATCTACGACGGGGAGTCCGCGCGGGTGGCGCACCTCTTCTCCAAGGAGCACTTCAGCTTCCAAACGGTGCCTTCTCGGCCCAGCTGCGAGACGCGCGGCTCGCCCAAGGTGCCCTTTCTGGACCAGAAGAAGCTGGGCCTGCGGCAGGAGGAGACGGATTTCACCACCAGGGCGGCGCTGTCGGGAAACTTCTCCCCGCCGGCCGGCCTCCGAAACAGAAAACGGCGCTCCATCTCGCGGGCCAGGCAGGTGGAGCTTCTGCTGGTGGCCGACGACTCCATGGCCAAGAAGTACGGCAAGGGTCTCCATCACTACCTGTTGACCTTGGCCACCATTGCCTCCCGCCTCTATGGACACGCCAGTATTGAGAACCACATCCGCCTGGCGGTGGTGAAGGTGGTGGTGCTGGGGGACAAGGAGAAGGGCTTGGAGGTGAACAAGAATGCGGCCACCACCCTCAAGAACTTCTGCAAGTGGCAGCACCAGCACAACCAACTGGACGACCAGCACGAGGAACATTACGACGCTGCCATCCTCTTCACCCGTGAGGTAGGTTTGGGAGGAGGCCGTGGCTGAGGGATCCCGCTCAGGCCTCCGCCAGCCTTGCGGAGCTGGGTTCATCACCCTCAGCTTCATTCTTCTGCTTCACTGCAGGTGTGTTGGACTTGATGACCTAAGAGGTCCTCTCTTGGGCTTTATGAATGTATGTGATTGTATTGCTGCTGTCTTTTTCTTTCTTTCTTTTAAAATTCATCTCTGGCTGTAAATGTCCAAAGGTTTCGTAGATGCTGTCTTAAGAATCCAAAGTGCTACTGAAAACACCTGTTTGCCATTGGGTTCAATATCACTAATGCTAAGGTGGTGTCACATCAGGTTTAGTAGATACTTGAGGTTCCAGTAATAATTCCAAGCATCTGCTAGGGAGCCTGAGTGAAAGGGGAGATGATAGATAGATAGATAGATAGATAGATGATAGATAGATAGATGATAGATAGATAGATAGATAGATAGATAGATAGATAGATGATAGATAGATAGATGATAGATAGATAGATGATAGATAGATGATAGATAGATAGATAGATAGATAGATAGATAGATATAGACATATGGATAGGGAAGCCCAGGGTGCTTCCACACAGCAGCTTATTGTCGACTCGGTGTTGCTCCTGTGCCCAAGTTCTCCACAGCATTCATGTGATGTCCTCATCAAAAGGTGTCCCCTGTTATTTTCCCATTTATTGTAGGCTTACTGTTCCTGCAGAAAACTAAAGTTTTGCTTGGTTTGTTTTTTAAAAAAATCATTGGAAATAGTCACTCTGGATTCAGTGTGGAAGGGGGAGGATAGGTTGGCAATTGAATGAGAATATCACATGTGCAAAAGTTGCATGCATGAGCAGTGCTGGGTCCACAATGAACTGTTGTGTGGAAGTGCCCTTGTTTCCAATCAAAATAACAGGCAATTGGGTCATGTGTCCATTTGAGATGCAGCATCCTCCTGCACTCATTGCACTAACCATGAGATGTTTCTCCCACTGGTGCACAGATTGGAAGTAGAACCGTTGGAGCTCTGTATGCTGATGGTGAAGAACTGATGCAATTCATATTGCAGCAAAATCAGGATCTTAAACAGGTGTTTGTAAACACAGTTGCCAACCAGAGGTTTTTGGAAATTATCAGGCCATTGGTCCATCTAGTTCAGTACTGTCTACACTAACTTGCAGCTTCAGGGTTTCATACAAGGGTCACTTCCCAGTCCAATGAGGAGGTGCTGGGAATTGAATCTGGGACAATTTGCATGCAAAGCCTGTGCTCTAACCACTGAGCTATGACCTATCACAGCAATTATGGTCTTTAAATCCTGCCCTGTGAGCAGAAACTTGCCTTCTGGCTCTTCTGTGCCAAAGACATCCCTGACACCTGGTAGTGCAGAGAGTAAGTATGTGCATTGCTCATCTTTCAACTAGCTCTTCCAAGATTCATGTCCTCATTCCACCTACAACCTGTTAACTTTCTCATAAGGCTGTCATGTGTCCATAATTTGCATAGAATAACCGTTAGGAGATTCTTATTATAGGAGAGCAAGCTGTTAGGATTTAAAATAAATAAATAAAAGTAAGTTTTTTTCCTATTGATGTTGCTCCTGAACAGCAATGAATATCCCTCTATTAAGATGACGCAACACATTTCTAGCCAAACGTATACCCAGTGCTGAAGCTCACCTAAATTTTCTGTTGGGTGGTGGTGGAAATGAACCCATTTAAGTAATAAGATAAGGCACTGGTAGGCTTGCCAATCTTTCAGTGTATCTACCAGATGAGAAGAAGAACTATGAACACCTCTGGCTCAAATCCCAGTCTGACTCTGTTGAGATTAGAGGGAAAGGAAAATGTGTGAGGTGGCCTCAGGGAGCTCACAACTTCCTTGCTTAGTTGCTGGTAATTTAACATGGCATTTCCAGCATGAAAAGAAAGTAGCAATAAAACCGGAGAGGCGCAACATGTGTGGCTCAAGAGAGGGGAACGTAAATTCAAACCACATGTAAACATAGCTGCAGAAAAGTGGTGCACCAAGGTAGGCGAGGGGTGGGGCTCTAATGCCTCGTTATCCACAGCGTGGAAATTGGTCTCCTAATCTGTTAGAATTCTGAACTGGCAAGGGTTCTCCATACAGCTTTCTGGATGAGTGCTGAGTGATAATCCAGCAGCATTGGCTGAACTAGGTAAGGGGAGTGGTTCCAGAGGAACATGTGACACTGTTTATGCAGCAGAACTTTTCAACATGAATGTCCCCTTCAGCATGTTCTTCCGCTTTTCCTTCTTTAATTCAGAAAAACACATAACTTTCCATTAGAGTTCCCTTCCTCCGCTACATCACAAGAGTGCCAGGAAAAAGAGAGGCTTGGGATAGTTTGTGGAATGAGTTACTCCAGTGAAGGAGTAAGGAGAGAGACAGAAAAAGCCCTCGTATGTTTATTTATTCCTCCAAATACTTGAAATATTATGGTGTTCCTGTCGTGCTGCACTTGTGCTGTATGTTCTCTCTGTTGATGTCCAAAGCCATTTGTTTTCAACCATGAACTCAGGAGTCTCCTGAGTTCAACCCAGATTTTTATCAACACAAACAAAATCTGACATGCTTTTCTAGGCTCCTTTGAGACTAGCTTCCCTCAATCTGATTCTGCAGCTTATATAAGCAAGTCGTTTGATGGTCCACCTGATTTTAGAAAATTGCTTTGGAGAGAACAGAGCTTGACAACTTGCATTTTTCTCAATACAGTCGCACACATATGCATGCACTAGAGTTTCCCAGGGAAAGGGATCTAACAAGGTGGCAACTCAGTACTCTTAAGACAAGTTTTTAATTACTGCACATCAGGGATGACCAATGTAGTGTCCTCCTGATACTTAGCAATAGCTTTTAGGAGCAGTCCATATTACCAAAGTGGGATGATCCACTTCAGATATATAACCAATTCAAATAGACATATAGATAGACAGCCATTATACCTTCAGAACATGAACTGGATGTGTACATGGTGGAATAGTCATATGAAATTGCCATCTAGAGCACAAATCCTTTGTGTATAAAATCAGTAAAGAGCGTTGTGGCACCTTAAAGGTTAACACATGTCATCAGCTTTCTTTCTTGGACTAGAATCCACTTTCTCTTCTGATGAAGTGGACTCTAGGCCATAAAATCTTACATTGTAATAAATGTGTTTGGTGCCACAGCAATCTTTTTGGTTTTTACTGCAACAGACCTATACAGCTACTCTTCTGGATGCTTTGTGCAGATATTACCACATGGATCACGGTGCACAAGCTAGCTGGCCCACACAAGTTGTTTGTCTTTTTTTTTGTTCAGTCCTTGAAGAAGGGTAGAAATGGACTGCTGACTTATTGATTTGTGTTGTAATGCACCAACTTGTAATGAAGAATTTGTGTGGGCCTTTCATTGGGTATCTACTGTGATGCTCAACCCTTACTCAACCTTACTAATTCTCTCATTAAATCATTTTGAAAACTTTGGAATGAGATGGTTAAGTTGCAGGTTGGAGGTACATCAAAACAATGTAGAGGAACATTATGTAGAAGAAACAAGAACCATACATTTTGCCCATGTGAGTTTTGCCTTGTCCCACTGACATTTCTTTTGAGCATTAACAAGGGATGCAGATTTTGCAACAAAGTTAATGGCCAGACATAGCGTTCCTTGTCTATGCTGTCCTTGCAAGGAGTAACTGAAACACGAGAACCGTCACATCTTCTGCTCACTTCAGCTCTGTTATCTCAGATTATATAAACTGATGTCTAAATCTGGCATTTTCAGTTCATTGGAGATACATCTGAATTGATTTTCCTCAATTAAAAAAACAATCGAGGGAAGAAAGAGAGGTGTCCAGGAATGAATAAATGTGCATAGGTCTTCATCTAATGGCATTTGAAGTGAATGATTCACTGTTCACATTTGCAAACTGTAAACATGAAAAAGAGTTAAAAGGTAAAAGTGTCAGAGGAGAAACATCTCACAGGGCACAGGGCTTTTTCAAGCCTACTAGTGTTTTTTGTGGAGGTTTTTTCTTCCCATTTTTGTTTTTTCAACAAGACGAGAAGTAGCAGCAATTGGCATGAGTGTTCAACTTTTACAACTCTGTTTTGAAAGTATGAAGTCAGTTGCTTAGCAACTAGACGCTTAGCCACAGTACCATGTTTTGATGGGCTCCGAATGCTGCTCTGTTAAGTTTTTGTATACCCAGATGCCTTCTTCTAAATTGCTTGTTTTTCGGTTGTGGATCAAATGTGTGAGGTACACTTTCCATCCCTGTTTATTATTCAAGGCCACTTTGAACTTCAGTAGACTAATATTTGCATATCATCTATCAAAGGAGCCCACCACAATTAGAATTAATTCAGTTCAATTCAGTTCAATTCATGTCCAAAGGCAAATCTATCAAATGGAAAAGCAGGCATTGTTTGAAATTTGTGCTGGGTATCTGAATTTGTAGTTCTTCAACCAATGTTTACAAAAATGCATATATTAGAGGAAAGTGTGCAGAAAATGGGTAATATAGAAATAATAATATAGGGGAAATTGTTTGCAGAAATCAGTCAAAACTGCATATAACAGTAAGCTCATTAGCAGAAATTGTGATGAAAATGCTGATGAAACAGTGGTTTTTTAAAAATCACAAATTGCCCCAGAAATGTGGAGAACTGAATTTAAGACCGGAAAAAGGAGAAACCAAGACAACCTAAACGGACAGATCGTTCCATCCCTAAACACACTATGCAAACAATTCTTCATGCCTAACTTTATGTTCATTAAATATTCAGATTGCCATAGGATGTGCTCTCATGTTGTCAATGGTCTATAACACGAGTGACTAACAGATGCCACTGGAATACAACCTTCATAATTCCTGGTTTTGGGGCTGTGTTGACTGGTGGGAGTGGAAGTCCAACCATATCTGGATGGCCACAAGTTAACCATCTCTTGTTTAGTCTTTTAGTCATGTCCGACTCTTCGTGACCCCATGGACCAGAGCA